ACTGCATACTTCTTTGTTCGTTTTCAAAATGAAATTAAAGGGTTTAGAAATTTTTTTTTTAAAGATTTTATTTTTTCCTTTTTCTCCCCAAAGCCCCCCAGTACATAGTTGTATATTTCTCGTTGTGGGTCCCTCTAGTTGTGGCATGTGGGACGCTGCCTCAGCGTGGTTTGATGAGCAGTGCCATGTCCGCGCCCAGGATTCGAACCAATGAAACCCTGGGCCCCCTGCAGCGGAGCGCGCGAACTTAACCACTCGGCCACGGGGCCAGCCCCTAGGAATTTTTTAACAAATGATTTCATTCCTGTGTCAGACCTGAGCTGGCTGGTTCTTTGTATTGGGCCTGTCCACACGCCTCGAAACCCAGCTGTGCTGGGTGGACCACAGCCAGACAGCACGTCCTGGGGGCACCACGACTCCCCCAGGACTCACACCTCCCCATCCCTGAGCAGCAGGAGTACCACGTGGTTGGAATTCAGCTCTGGACTCAGGTGGAACTAGAATTTAATCCCAGCTCTGCCACTTATAGAAGGTACGACCCAGCACGGGAACCTAACCTCTGTAGGCCTCAGTCTTGCCATCTGTAAGCTGGGGGTACTATGGTGCCTGCCTGGACGGGTCGCTACGAGGACTCACAGAGAGAATCGGCGGAAAGCACTCAGCACGGTGCCTGGCATGTGGGGAGCACCAGGACAAGAGCCACAGCTGTCGGTCTTCGTGATTCTTAGTCTCAAAGAGGAAGCTGCCTTGTCATCAGCAATGACTCAGGTGCCGTATACTGGGCTCCGAGAGGCGGCATCGGAGGTGTTATCTCACATGAGAGCTCCCTGTTTCCCCAGCACACACCTGAACCAATGTTACCAGGGGGTAAAGGGGGGCTCAGAGAGGTTATGTGATAAGCCCTAGAGCACACAGCTACGAAGAGGCAAGGAGGCAGAGTGGGGCCCAAAGACCCTGAGCTTTGCCCAAGGAGAAGAGGCCACAGCTCATTCTGGGGTCTCTGAGCAGCTCCCCAGTAAGATGGGCCTAGGCCCAGGCCCACCAAGACTGCAGCGCCCAGGAGTGGAAGGGACTGCGAGAATCCTCAGGGCTGCAGGGAAAGGACTCATCCCCCACCCTAGGCCTAGAGGGGTGTTTGTCTCCAAGAGGGTGCAGAGCACCCCCACCCGGCTCTCCAGAAAAACTGGGGGATCACGGTGGGAGGGCTTCTTTGCAGTAGGGTTTGGGGGACCACAGCCTAGAGGCGCAGCTGTAGAAGACGCACCTCCTTGGACCACTTTGGCCGCAGGAACAAGCATTCTGTCAGCCCAGCACATGCAGTGGGGCTTGTGGTGAAGCCCAGGGCACGGTGGAAGCCCAGGTGACAGGAGACGCTGACCGCCTTCTGGCCCAGCGGGGGGTTATACCTGAGACCCCGAGGCCCCTCCCAGGCTGGTCCTCATGTTGCCTACTGCAGTGTTCTCTCAGGGGACTTTGTGTGCTGTGGTCAGTGGTTTCAGGAGGCAAATGTCCTTAGGCTGCTCTCTCTATGCCATGGTAGAATCTCCCCAGAAACTAGGGTGCGTTCACATGATCCGTGTTCAAAAAAAATCTCATGATGGTAACTCAGGGCAAAATGGATATTACAAACTCTATAGCTGGTACCAGGGATGTATGTTTCCCTCTGCATGCCCTTGGCCACTGATAAGCTGTGTGACTTTGGACAAATTGCTATCCCTCTCTGTGCCTCACATTCTTTCATAAAACAGAAATGATAACGCACATCCTCCCTGGGTTGTCATGCGGATTAAATGAGGGAAATGCAGCGTGGCAGAAGGCCACAGGGGCTCGAACAGTGGCTCAAAGCCCAGTTTCAGTAAAGGTTGACGCTCTGTTCCTCTGCCCCTGTTTGGGGTCCCAGCAGACAGAGTACAAAGATAAGGCAAAGGATCCTGCAGGGAGTGGCCAGAGGCAGGGCAACTCAGCCCTCCACCCACAATCCAGCTGGCCCTGAAATTCAGCCGTTCATTCTGGGACCGGCACTCGAATGAAACTACTGGCCTAACCAATCCTCAGCCCCACATTGGGAGCCGGGGACACAGAGACAAATGAGACCTTGTCACTGCCTCGAGGAAGCTCACAGACTTGTAGGAGGGACATCTCCTCAATGGGATCAGCGTGATAGAGGGCGGCAGGGGGCCTGGGCAGGCCTTACAGAGCCTCCGCATCCAGGCCTAGGGGCCTGGGAAGAGGGGGCGCCTGCACGAAGTCTGAAAGGATGCATAGGAGAGGAGTGGGCGAGGCTGGAAGGAGTCGAGGCAGAAGACGCAGCACGGCAGAAGTGCAGAAGGGAGAGAAAGCAGGGGAACACGCCACAGGACCCGGGGGTGGGTTTGGGGCTGGCGTCTGCAAAGATAGGAGGGCATCTACTTCACAGGCAGGGAGCGCAACGATGATTGCCGCAAGGCTGGCGATCACATAGCCCGACCTGCAGGCTCACCATTTTCACTTCCCTGGGAGATCCCAGGTCTCCGGGGTCGCTTCAAGCCGGGCGCTGCAGAAACCTCTTCCCCCAGCGGGCCTGGCAGAGACGCGGCGAGGGACCCGCGCTCTTCTCGGCGGAGGACGGTCGCTAGGCAACAAGCCCCGCCCACAGCTGCGGCCCGCGCGCCCTCTCCTGGCGGCGCCCTGCAAGCGCATCTAGCGTCAGGGAATCCCGGCCTGCTGCCTTCCAGAACATTCTGGTTCATACAGCCAAGTCTGGGCCATTTGGGATGAGCAGTGCTCCCCCTGCCAGCCGGTCTCTCTGCTACCCAGCGTTTTCTGCCTAGACCTGGCTGACCTCATCCATTTAGGGCCTGGGTCGGCCAGCTAGTAAGGGAGAGGCTAGAAAGGTGGGCAGGCAGGTTGGGTTGAAGATGTTGGTCCTTGATTCTCAGAGCAGTAGGGAGCCACAGAAGGCATGTGAGCAGGGCAGCAACATGAGCGGATCTGGTGTTTGAATGCTCATGCTTCTGCTGCTGAAAAGTCTGGAGAAGCAGGGCATTTGGGGAGCATGGGTTGGGTTGACTAGAAAGGCCACTGGGAGGAGGGGTCCACTGACCTCACCAGGGTAAGTAACCATGGTGAGAGCCCACAGGGAAGGACAGAACTTGGGGTTCGCACTGGGGGAAGGGAGGAAGGTAGGCTCACAGTTGGTGTTTCCACCCCAGCAGGTACCTTCAAGGATCCAGGAAAGATGCTGACCAGTCTCCAGCGATTCATCGGATCACAAGCCTGTAGGAGAACTGAGCGATCCTCCCCTCCCTGGAATCCTGTGGATGTGGACCCTCCAACAGGACAACAGGACATTGCTCTTCTCCGCAGGCCAGAGCTGCCCACCTCAAACCCCGCAGGCTCGCTAAACGTCCTGTTTGCTTGCATTGGTCTGGAATGGTGGAGTCCGTGTGGTCACAGACTGTCTCATAACCCTGTGTGTGTGTTGATCAGAAACAGGAAAACAGCTTTATTGATTAATGCAGCTTGGCTGAAAAATCTTTCAAAACATGGAGTCTAGGATAAAACAATGTGACGAAAAAGTAGGGGCTGATGCAGCCTCACCTGGCCATCCTGACAGGTCAGGGGCCCAGTGAAGGCAGGGTGAGTGAGGCTAAATGGAGCCAGAAGCTGGTCTTCTCCTGCCCTCCCAGGGCTCCTGCAGCACTGTGGCCCTGGGGGCAGGACCAGCTGTGGGGTGGCTGATGGCTCCAGCCTCTAAGCCAGGCTGGTCCAAAAGCAGGGTACCACCAGGTCCAGACTGGAGCCAAGGCAGACCTGCAGGCCTCGCCCCTGGTTTTGCCCTGCTGAAAGCACTGCGTGTCTGCGAGGCAGGAACCCAAAAACACCCATGACTGTGCCTGCTCCAGGGCCTCCCACAGAGCAGGCCCAGGGCCCGGAGCCCCAGCCACCACGCCAAGGTGAGGGAACAGAGTATCGGTTCCCAGTGAGCCTCCTGCTACCTGTCCTAGGAGGACACTTGGACACCCTGCCCACAGGCAGGACAGGAAGCAGGCCAGCCTGTTCTCCAGGGTGCAGTCCCTCCCTGGACAGAGACCAGGACCTGGAATCCTTCACCCCAGGTCCCTGCCATCTTTCTGCCCCCACGGGCAGCGCCTATCTTCACCTAACTCATTCTTGCCCTTCAAGATGCAGGTGAGGCCCTGACTTCTCGAGAAGGCTTCTTCCGACCATCCCCACGGCCCCTCTCCCTCCCAGTCCCAATGCCATGGGGCCGGCTCTTTGTCTTGTTGCCCCCACGAGATTCCATGCTCCTCGTCGGCAGAGCTGTGACTGCCAGGCTGTGAATCCAGCAGAGACGCAGGACAGTTTTTAAGTGAAGGAGCCAATGAAACCAAGGGAAGAGCCCCAAGACCCTAAAATAGCAGAATGGGGCCAAGTTTTGTTTTTTAAAACCATGTCCCTGTGCAGGGACCATGAAAGGAGCTGGGGAAGGGAGACTAAAAGAAACCTTTAGGGGCCAGCCCAGTGGCGCAGCGGTTAAGTGCGCACGTTCTGCTTCTCAGTGGCCTGGGGTTCACCCGTGCGGACATGGTACCACTTGGCACACCATGCTGTGGTAGGCATCCCACATATAAAGTAGAGGAAGATGGGCATGGATGTTAGCTCAGGGCCAGGCTTCCGGAGCAAAAAGAGGAGGACTGGCAGTAGTTAGCTCAGAGCTAATCTTCCTCAAAAAAAGAGAGAGAGAAAGAAAAGAAATCTTTACATTTTATGTCTGCATCAGATGTCCTTGACAGGTCTCCACTGCTTAAAATAACAACAATAATGGAAGTACAAAATCTGGTAGCCCGGCCACGCCTCTCACTTCCTAACTGAGGTCAAAGGAACAGAGGTAGACCAGGGAGGCACCTGCCTAGGCAAGGACATAGTACAGGCGGGCCACCGGGCCACAAACCCAAGCCTCTGACTCCCCTACCCGACGTCGCCTTCCACACGGATTTAAAGAGAGAATAAAGCTTCCATGAGGATTTCCACTGCTCATTTTATTTCAACAGTCAACTGTCCTCAGAGAAGAAACTGCTGACGTCACAGGTGATGTGGAAGCACCATTCTAGTCTCTGAGAACCACAGCAGTGCCTATGAACAGCCTACTTTTAAAGTCGGCGATCTCTATAAAAACATCAAATAGTCAAACTTTAATAGATTCTTTTCCAATCAGAAATGGTGTCTGTAACGGCTCAAACTTTACGGAGGAGGTGAAGCAGCCCAGTGGTCACGATGCTTACAAGTAAAGCCCCTGGAGAAGGGGCGAGGGCAGGGGCCAGGCGGACAGCGGGCAGGGCAGGCCTTGCAGACCTGCCACCAGCGCCCCCGGTCCTGAGGCAGAGGCAGAGGCTGAAGGGGATGGTGCCTCCTGCCACCAGCGGGGCCTGAGGAAATCAAAGACCAGCCCTGGGGCGAGTCTGATAAACAGCAGCACAACCCAGAGACTGTTAAATTCATTCCTAAATGTGGGCTTCCACCGGCCCCACTCCTCAGAGCCCTGGGCCTCCCCTGGGAACCTCGTCCTCCGTTCTCCACTCCATCCCACAGGCCAGGGCTGAGAGAACCCCACAAGTCACCCTCCTTCCTCCTATCTGGAAATGGGAATTAGCTGCCATCTTACGCCTACCACTCCCCGCCTCCCTACACATCGCTGAACACAGACAAAATCATTGCTCCAACACCCCTCGCCCCACCGCCAGCGGAGGGCCGGGGCCTAGTCCAACTGCTCCTGGGACAAGGGCTGGCTGGGCTCGCAGGGCACAGGCACATCCGCGTCCTGGTCGTCCTGGTCGTCTGTGAGGGACAAACAAGAGGAGCTGGGTTTAGAAAGAGGGACAATTACCGATTTTCAGATGTAAATTTCCTGGAAGGGGTTCTCATCCTTCCCAGCCCCCAAAGGGAATTAATCTGCCTTTAATCTGCCAGGTGTCGCGAGGCTGGGAGTCTAGTCCTGACCCATGAGACGGGCACAAGTTCAAGCCCCAGCTCTGCTTGTCACAAGCTGGGTGGCATGAAGCCAGCCACCCCGCAGCTCCGGACCCCAGCTTCTCGTCAGATGCGATGACACCTCCCTCGGCACAGGGCAGCAGGGGCTGGACGGGGCAGTGAGTGGAGCTGCTTTCCCTAACGCTGTCTGTCGATGTCTCAGGTTCTGTCTAAACCCGGGACAGCTGCAGGAGGGAGGGGCCACCATCAGTCCACTCTTGCAGATACTGAAACTGAGGCCCCAAGGGAGAATCCACTTGCCCAGGTCACCCAGTGGGAAGTGCTCGAGCCCAGCCTCAGGCCCAGGCGTCGGCCAGCAGGGCCCGCGTGCTTCCGGCCACAGCCACCAGGGCCCGGCACGCTGTACTCCTGTTCGCCACTTCCCTTCTCTCCACATCCCTTCAGACGAGGCCCCTCTTCCTCCAGAGAGTCTTCCTGCCTGCCCGGAAGCTGGGAGGCTCTGCTCGCTTACCAGTGGCCTCCCTGTGGGCCTCGGCCACGACGGTCAGTGAGAAGGAGGGCGGCGGTGGTGGCGGCGGCAGCGGTGGGAGGAAGTGGAGCGCAGAGAGGAAGCCCGGGGGCAGGAACGGGGCTGGCGGCAGTGGCGGTGGCGGCGGCGGCGGCAGGGCCGGTGGGTAGTAGCTGGGCTGGAAGTCCCCCAGCGGCTCCGACACCTGCATGGCCAGAGGGGCAGCGTCAGCCAGCCAGCCCAGTCCCGTCTCACCCTCCCCAGGGGGAGATTCGCCTTCGTGACCCAAACACTTGGGCACAGGGCACTTGGAACAGGGTGCTCCACAAACACCCGCCAAATGACTGAAGGCGAGAACAGAGGCCCAGCTCAGGCAAGCCCGGGAGCCGCCGCAGTCACACGGACGGAGCCCTTCTCTAGATGCTTAGATCCAGGACCTCATTCCACCCTTGGGACCCTAGGAGGAGGTCTGGTACCATCCTCACCGTAATGACAAAAAACAGCGTCAGGGAGATGGAGCTACAGGCCCAGGGCCAGGGACTGGGAAGTGGCGGAGGCGGGACTGGAGCCCGTCTGTGTGACTCCACTCCTCTGCACGGGGGAAGGGGCTGAATGCACCCCAACCACTTGTGGTCCCATCTTCTGGCCTGTGTAAGGACTCAGACTCAGGGTCCAGGGCCTTTGGGGCTCTATTCTAACAGGCCGGGAGAAGACCTGGGGGGCGCAGCTGCTCCTGAGGCAAGAGAAGCTGGGTGACCTCAGGAAAGTGGCTTCGCGCAATCAACCCTCCCGTGTTTCTGTTCCTTCTTCAGAAGACGGAGGCTAACCCCACACCACAGGACCCCAAGGCCGGAATGAGGGGATCTGGAGAGGTGACGTCTACACAGTCAGAGCTTGACTGAGAAGGACACGGATATAACAAAACACAGCAAGGAATTTCAGATGTAGTCCCTCTCACTGACTTCTCCTTCCAGATCCTCCAGGGCAGCACTTCACAAGCTGCGTTCTGGAGAACCCTAGCGTCCTCTGAGATATTGTTAAGTGCTCTTAAAGGTGTTCTTTGTCAAGGGACTTTGTGAACTGCCTTACTGGCCCCACATTGGGGAGTCACACGGGAGCATATGAAAGCCTTGAGGCAGCCTGCAAACATCTCCTCAGACCCGCCCCGAGTTTCCTAACTTCATGTGACCACCAAGGAAGGAAGAAGGCCCACTCTTGAGGCCCTGCTACGTACCAGACCCTGTGCCGGGCACGTCACAGGCACTACAGCTTATTAAATCTATCAATGGTCCTGTGAGATAGGTACCCTCACCCCGACTGTACGGACTCAGGACCTGAGTGAGGCCCCCAGAGGTCAGGTGACTTCCCCCCGCCACATGGCTAGTAAACAAGAGGTGGGATTGGAGCCTGGGTCTGTCCGGCCCCAGGTCTGTGCTCTTGCGGGAAGAGAGCAGAGGCCGCACGGCAGCAGCAGCTGGGGCAGGGAGAGGAAGAGGAGGAGGAAGACGTCTCTGGGGAGTATCTTGGAGCCTGGGCAGGGAGCAGCAGGACAAGGAGGAAAGCAATTCGTAGGCTCTTGGGTTTGAAACAGCTCCACAAATAAATGCTTGATCCTCTCTCCAGACATGAAGGGGGTGGGCCGGGGGATTATTAGTGCTTTAATTCCAAGCTGCTCAGCCAAGCCTCTCCCTGGATCACAGCTCCTGCCTGGGGCCTGTGGTGGCAGCTCAGGCCCAGATAGACCGGCTGAGATCACACTCTTAACAAAGGCCGTCTGGCAGGCCTGTCAATCAGAGGCCTGCCCTGGACGCCAGGCTCCAGGCTTCTGTGTGAGCAGACGGTGGGGACGTGCTCCACTTGGCCAGGGCCACTCTCTTTGTGTGGATGCTGAAGACGCTGTGCTCTCCCTGGGCTGCAAGGGGGTGGCCAGCACCCACAGATTTCAGGTGGGGCGGGGGTGGTGGTGAGAGCCCAGGGCCATCCACGTTTGCCCCACCTCTGTCTGAGAGACACACTGAGGGCAGCAGGAGGCGCCTGGGCTCCAGAGTCAGGGTGGCCAAGGTATATGTGCTGGCTCTGTCACTGACCAGCTATCCCTCACTCACCAGTTCTGTGACCTTGGACAAATACATAACTTCTCTGAGCCTTCTTCCTCTACTCTAGCACGGGGTAATAACACATACCTTGAAGGCTCACATCAGGGTCAGTTGGCACCCTGGAAATTATCAAGACCAGTGGTTTTCAAATTTTCCCTTGAATCAACGGAAAATGATTTATAAATAAAACTGTACAATATCTAAAACAGACAGAAGAGATGGTGCTGAGGCTGAAACTGGAGTGGGCATCCAGCACCCTGCGTGCCTGCCCTGCCTGGACACAGCTGGAACCCCACTGCACTGGCCCCCACCCTGTGGCTAATGGCTCTCATTATGTAAATGTCAGGCTTTCATCTTCTTAATCACTTTCCACATTAAACCAAAGAAGGCTGCTCTCTCCTCACTCTTCTCCACTCCCCACCCAAAGAAAACATCTCTGTAACACCCAGGGTTAGGCTTTTAATTCTGCGGGAGGGAGTAAAGATAATGGTGGCCTACATTTCTATGAACTGGAGCTTTGTTGGAGCTAACCTTCCCCACAGGTCGAGGCTTATGGGGCCAAAGTCAGGACTGGTCCTCCAGGCTTTCCACTATCCTGCCCTCAAAAACTGCTAAAAGGGAGAGGGCTTTTAACCACCCAGGCCTGGAAGGAGCTGGTAACCAATGTCACAAAACCTGGTCACCCCAACTCATACCTCACACAACAGAGATGGCCTGAGTCTTACACACTCAGTATTCAAAACTCTAGGCTTAAAGAGCACACCAGGCAGTGACTGACTCCCGATCTTACAGAGGGGTTAACCTGTCCTTTCCACAACTATTGCCTAAGGTGACAGGTGTTTGGGGGAAGGTTTCCGTATTTTTCAAGACTGAGCTTAAATGCCTCTTCCCCTGAAAGCCCTCTGCCATCTCAAGCAGGCCATACCTTTGGGCAGGGGACCTACAGCTGTTCCTGGCTCAGCCCTAAACTGTGTGGCTCCAGGAAAGTGATATTTCCTCTCTGGTACCCAGCAAAATGAAGGGCCCTTCTGACACCAGCATTCCATGAGTCAAGGCTGGCGGTCGTTCGGTCGGTGTGACTACGGTTGTTCCCCGGGCTCATCTGAGATGTGCCTGTACTCCTTCCTGCCTGGGCTCCCAGAGCCTTTTGGCCCACAGCTCTGAAACGCACATGCCATAGCCCAGGCCGCCTTGTCTGCACGGGAACGGACTTGTCTACGTGTGTGCCCTCCCAGAAGTGCATACTGCACGAGGTCAATGTTGTATCCCTCCCAACAGTGCTCAAGGCCTGGCACAGAATGGGCACACCAAGTGGCCTCCTGGGATCAAAGATGCATAAAAGCAGCAAGGGCAGTTGGGATAAGGAGGAACCTGTAAGGGAGTGAGGGAAGGGACTCACCAAGCCTCCATGGTAGTGGCTGCAGGACACGTGCCGGAAGCCCTGCTGCAGGGGGACCCCAGCATCCGGGCCGGCGTCCTGGTAGCCCAGTGGGAACGTGCGGTACGGGTGCATGCCAGAGCAGCCCGGGTACAGCTTGGAAGGCTCCCTGTCCAGGTACTCAGATCCCACCACACAGTCGGAACTGATGCTCAGAGAGTGCCCTGAGAAGGTAAGCAGGGAGGGAGGTGTTAAAAACACACAGAGCTAGGAAGAAGAGCACATTACTGACCCAAGGTGGAAGCATAATCAAACTCACATGCATTTACAAAGAACCCCCAGAGCCAAGAGGCTTTTGATCCTCCCTCCCTCCAGCCACGTCCCCCCTGCCCTTTAAAAAGTCCTCCTCCTCCTCGGCACAGCCAGGAAGCCCCGCGTGGGCTGGCTCCCGCCTCCACTCCAGCCTCCTCGCCTACTACAGCCTCGCAGCTGCTTCTTTCTCGTCCACCTCAAGGCCTTTGCAGGTGCTGTGCCTTCGGCTTGGAAGCCTTCCTCCCCGAACCCCGCTTTGCCTCCTTAGGTCCTCAGTACGCAGCGCCTACTCCTCCTTCAGACCACAGCCAAACCATCAGTCAGGAGAGCTGCATCCACTGATTTGTGTGACTCTTTGATCAGTTCTGTCTCTCCACAAGGACAAACCCTCGAGGCCAAGGAATGTCCTTGTTTGTTGAGACATGGAACCAAGAAAGGCACCGTGTCGTGGAAAGGTATCCTTCTCCTAGGATAGCTGTTTCAGGTCTGTCTTCCCCATCTAGTTCCCTGGGGACCTAGATCTTCCTAGAATGTTCCAGAAGGCAGAAATGACCTTCCGAGGGCATCCAGAGGGGAGAGTCCGACACAGAAGGAAGGAGCTTGCCTAAGTTGACAGAGAGGCCTAAGGAGGCCCCAGCCTCCTAACTCAGACTTGTGCTCTTTCTACTGCACTGCCAGAGGGAAAACCACGAAAACATGTCTTCCACTCAAAAACAGCCACTGTTTAAAACTCAAACCTAGAGTGAATGAAATTGTACTCTAATAGTGAACGCAGCAAGACATAAGGAACAGCGTAATTCACGCACGCGGTGGGAGAGGACAAAAAGAGGCAACATCCCAAAGGACCCACTGTGGTCCTCCAGCAGGGGGCACAGAGGCTGCCTCCTTCCCCCACGCCGAGGGAAAAGGCGGGAAGCGGTGCGCATGCTCATTGGGCCAGGGCACGGGGGAGGGGAGGGGCCTCCAGAACGGGGAAAGGGAGAGAAGGGTGCGCAGGCGCAGTCATAGTTGAGAGAGCCGGACTGCAGGACAGTCCTGGGGAGGTGCCTGCAGCCCAAGAAAAAGGCGGGAAGAGGTGCGCAAGCGCAGTAGGGCCAGTGTCCAAGCGGAGGAGGAGCCACAGCCAAGCCGAGTGGGGGCCATTTTTTTCTTGCAAGATGGAAAGGCAAAAACTGTAGCTAAATGTTAAAAGCCCTGTGGACCACCCACTCCTTCCTATCGCTCTTTTTGCCTTTTTGCAAAGGCCCTCAACGCAAATCCGTATTCAGAGACAGGTTTTGCGAAGCGAGGCTAACCCTGGTCAGCGCTGTCCCGCCCCCGGGTCCCCCCCGCGGGATCGGCCGGCTCAGGGCGCCAGCGTGCGGGCGGGAGGCTGCGGCCCGACAGAGGTGGGGCAGGGCCGCGCGGCCCGGGCGTCTTACCGAAGTCGGCGAAGGGCGGGCTGGGCACGGGCCGCAGCGGCCTGCGCAGCTCCGGGCGGCCGGGGTAGCTCCTGCCTGCGGCCTCCGCGCCGAGCTGGGGGCCCCCGGGCACGGCCGCCGCGGCGCGCTCCCTCGGCCCCACGTGGCCGCGGCCGCCCAGGACCGGCTGGAAGGCGCTCGGGCCCGGGCTCGGGCCCCGCGGGGGCCTCCCCGGGAAGGAGGCGGCCGCGCGGCCCTCGGGGCCCGGTCCCGGGTCTCGCGAAGCGGCGAACAGGGGCAGCGGGCGGAGGCTGGAGCCCGGGCCGGTGGCCGCGGCCCCGGAGGCCAGCTCGGGCCCCTCCAGTTCCTCCTCGGAGGCCTGCTTCTTGAGCACCTTCTGCGCGGCCATGATCTTCTGGCGCTCGGTGATCAGGTAGCACTTCTCGCAGGTGCACTGCTTCCAGCGGCACTTGCCCGCGTGGCCCTTGACGGGCACCAGGAAGCCGTGGTTCCGGCACCGCGAGCACTTGGGGGTGCGCAGCATCTTGTCGGCCAGCTTGGCAAGGTCTGCCTTCAAAGCACAACCGCCACCTCTGGGAGCTGCAGAGCGAGTGGAGCAGGGATGAGCTGCGCCCCATAAGTCCCTGGTGCTGGGGACGTTGGATACACTTGTAACAAAGCAGCTCTCGGTACGTCCCAGGAACTGCTGCAAGACCCTTGCATTTTCCCTGCTTTTTTGGGTGCAAAATTTGGAGAGTTTCTGTGCCTTGGTTAATTAGATGCAAGGGATTGGGTTGAATAAGTTCTTCATGGAATGCTATTGCATGTATGTCGTCTGAGTTATCTGAAGTCTTAGGCATTTAATCTTCCAAACTTTCTATTCCCGCCACGCCATAGACAGAAGGTATTTTGTAACTTCAAAAAAGGCGGAGTGATATTCAACGGTCCACGGAATTAAAGCTCCAGAGGAACGCGGCTCTCAGTAAACCCATTCCAGTATAAAAGCGTTCTAAGCGGCAAGCGGGCTTCTCCCGCCAAGAGCTGCTGCTTCTGCTGAATTTCATTTCTCTCCCCTGCAGAGAAGCAGTCGTTCGCAGTGATGCTTCCAGAATATTCTCAGGAGCTGAGTGCAGTATGATAGTCGCTCAAGGGTGTGCCCGTATAGTAATTCCCATTTCTTAAGAGTCTTGTTGGTTACAGGAATGCATCTCTAGCAGATGGCCTATTGCTGTCGTTGATGCCTTCCAGGATAAAGCATACTTAAAATGCTTTCAAGTAAAACAGACTCAGGATATTTTAGCAGGAGCTCGAATTATTGCTTAACTTTGCAATGAATTTAGTTATCCCTGCAAAGCAACCCAGATGTTGGGGCACCTGAAAAGCTGGCACAAACTTCATAGTTTCCCAAAGCTGCTAAATTAACTCATTTTCTTGTTTGATAGAAATCTGTGACACCCTGAGGTCTTTTTCTTTTTTTTTAGGTCCCCAAAAGAAACAAAAAGAGCCACTCACACCTAAATTGAAAGTTGATAGTCATAGAATTAAGAGGTAGTTATGGTTAATACCTGGCTAAAACACGTGCATTTTAAATTGCCCTTTCTCTGAAATTCTCTCTTTCTGGGAGCAGAATGGTGGAAGTGGAGGCCTGTTGTCCACCTTGATTTTCCTGAGCCTCTGGTTGCAACTGAACTTGGCATTTCTCTGCCTAGAATAGGAAATGGTTGCCATTCTGAGCCTGAGTAGATACTGGAAAGCTGAAAAGAGATTTGTAAACCCTTTTTCTGCTTTAAAGAAATAGATTCATCATCTTCATAAGAGGGCAAAAGTATATGCTTCCTGGATTATTTGGCCCTTCAGGAATTTCACCGGTTATGTTACATCCATTTAAAAAGATCTAGGTTTGTCTCTGCTTTGCTGTAACACTGTCTGTCTGAATTTTTGATTTAAAAAATATGACCCCATAGATAAAAGGAGAGACAAGCTCCTTTTTCTGACTCCACTGATTCAAAATGTCTAATTTTTTCACTGATCTGGTCATTTGAAAATAGTACTTAAAAATCATTTTCAATACAAAAATCAGTTTCAATACTACGGTCAAAAAATGTGGGACATAAGCTGTATTGTTTCATGATACTGCAAAATGTAAGGTCATTTTCTGCATTATCAAATTTAAATTTTAACATCTGGTAACATTGAAAGAAAACTAGTCTCATTTACATTTCATGCTTGACCACTCAAGCTCTCTTCATTTTCCTATTAATGATTTAAAGGAAAATCCTATTCAAAGCCAACTATTTGAATTAACATATTTTAGCCTTGTTAACTACAAAATGCTTCCATATTTACTTCATAGCTTTAGGGGCCAAATATACCGAAGGTGATGTGAATTTGCATGGTGCTTTGGGAACATTAATAAACAACCATATATCTTTTTAATCAGTAGTCACATTATAAGATGCAGAAATCCCAGGGTTTATACAGTAAACAAATCTAAGAAGAAAAAAAAGGCTAGTTTATTTCTCTCTTTTCACCAAAGTCTCAATTTGTGTAGGTAAATTCCAACAGAGCTTTATTTATTTCACTCTTGGAAATTCAGGCAAATTGATAGTTTTGTTTTATTTAGGTTGATGACTGATTACTTCCTAGGCTGCTGCTCTTTTTTTTTTTTTAACATACATTTCTTTAAATTGTTATTTAAAAAGATGGTAATGATGTAAAAGTGAAAAACTAGAAGTCAGAAAAGGATGGGAGGAGTAGGCACACAGGGGACCCCTTCCTTCCCCACACCTAAACCTTAGGATATTTATCTTTAAGAAAGTCTGCATCATCATGAACAGTGGTTTATAAAATAACAAGTTATTGTTGCTGAGGAATCACCAGTTTGACTAATTAACCACAAAGGGGCTGGCGGATGGTCATATTTGACTTCCAGCCTCAGATGTGTCCCCTTTTCCCTCAGAGTCCCAAGTTTCCCACCTTGAATAATGCCTCTCCCCTTCGGTTAATATGATTGCTATTGGCACTGTTTAATTCACATTCACTTTAAAGAGCCTGGTATTATGTAGTGCACGGGGGTATCATTGATAATCATTAAATATTGCATCAGGCCCTGTAATGTTTCCTTACTGGGAACACACAAGAGTAAGGAAGGGTTTTCTTGCCTGTGGCATCTTTCCCCCAGCAGCTATAACCCAGATATCTGCTATCTTCCCCTTCTCTCTCTAGTGAGCAATGAAAACTTTATTGAAAATTTTATAGCGATGGAGGGGAGGATTTACATGATCCTATGGCAGATGCTTTAAAATCCTGCCTTAGCATTTCTGTTGTCTCAAGAGCCGCCTCAGCTGTGCTGCACCCACTGGGGAGAAACTGGTCTGTCCACTCCACCCCCTACAGTACCCAGCCTTCCTAGCTCCTCTCTCCTTTCTCGATTTTTTTGAGAGCTCTGTAACAGTTGTGCCTATCTTATTTTCCTTTATGTCTAGCTCAAAATAGACGTTCAGTAAACATTTGTTGAATGTACAAATGAATCTTGCGTCCCTCTCTGCCAGTGTCAAAGTGACCCCCTCCGTAATTGGCGCGCTAAGGCAACTCGGCTTCGGCAACTTTCCCCGAACATCACACGAAAACAGAAAGCCCAGGGTGAACAGGACCACTGTCCTGACGAGCAGAATTAGGGGATCAACTTTGGTTCCTTGAGCTCACCCCCCACCCCTGATGGTTTAATAACTAATAATAATAGCTGGCACTTACTAAGGATTTACATGTGCCAGTAACTCTTAAGTCCTTTAAGTGTATTAATTCATGTCGTCCTTACAACAACCCTCTAAGGTAGGAACTTTTATTTCCACCCCGATTTTACACATGCGGAAAGTGAGGCCTAGAGAAGGCGAGTAACTTGTCCAAGGTTTTACAGCCATTCCCTGGCAGAGCCACGCTTCAGAAGCAGTTCTCAGAGAGTCCACGATCTTAACCGAATACCTGCTAACTCAGTGTTTCTTCTAAACAAGCACAGTGCTCTCCCCAAGAAAGCTTTGGTGTTGAATAGAAGTGTTTGTCTTATTACATACCCATTACAGTTGGGGCTGTAGGGGAGCAAAATTTGCCACCCCAAAATGTGTCTCTTTGGCATGAGGATTATTGTAGGCCGATCATTTTTAAGAAACAGAAGACTCAGCAAGTTTTTTTTTTCACCTCCCCCTTAACTGCCTAAAGAATTTAGATAGAGGGCCTGTTCCAGGAAGAAGAGCCATCACCAGAGACAACTACACGAACATGAGCCAGGTGTGGGGGCCTGGGGGGGACTTAGCAAGGCCTGATTGTCCACATTCCCCTCTGCATCCCATTCTCTCTGCGTGGTGTGGCAAGCATTTGCTCTGCCCATCTCCCTGTGAACTGAATTCCTCTCCTTTGAAGTCCCAGACCCCTACCTCGTTCTCCTTAGCTCCAAGTAGCATATAAGCCTCAATTGCCTGACTGTTTTTAGGCCTCATATTCTTATGGAGCCCCCATACATACTCAAATTAAATGTAATCAAATTAAATCTGATTTTCTCCTGTTAAACTGTCTCTTAGACCAGCCAGAAGAGCCTAGAAGGGTAAAGGAAAAAATTCCCCCCCATAGGGCAAGAGGGGGTGAAGGTGGTAGCAACCTGGGGAAACTTCCCAGGATGCCCTGCTTAGTTACTTTCCTCCACCCACAGCCGATATTTATTGAGTGCCAACTATGTGCTAAGCATAAGGGACACAGAAGTAAATAAAAAGACAGGATCCTTACCTTTAGGCATACATTCTAGCTCGCAAACCAGACAGTAAACAAATAATTCTGGATGAAAGCCAGGGGGTAAAGAGAGAGACCCAGGATGCTACGGAAACCCATTTGAAGGTCCTAACCTGGATTGGGAAATCAAGGAAGACTTTCTTGGAGAGCTGATTTTTAAGCTGAGGCCTAAAGGTTGAGTAGGAATTAGCCAGGTGCGGGAGCAGGAGAGGTGTGTCCCGGACAGAGGCCTGCGGTGTGGCCGTAGTGCAGTGAGGTCAGGAGACTGGACAGAGGACGTGTAGAGCTTGAGCAGTAGCCAGGCCACGGGGGCAGTCCTCGGGGGAGATTATGGGAGTCACTGTCTAAGAGTAAGGAGAGGAAACGACATGGCAGAGCCAGGCCACACTCGAACCCCCGGGTCCAGACAGCTAGTCCCTGCCCTTGGCTTTTCATTCATAAAGCAGAACAGTAAGTAACTTGGACTGGCATAGGTATTGCAAGATTAAAATGGAGTTGAGTGGGGTTTTTTGGGGGAGTAGTTGTTCCATGTGGGGCACACATATAAGGCTAGTCATGGCCGTGAGCTAGCACTATGCTAGGCGGGGTGCTTCCTCCTGACCCTGGAGCCCTGTTGACTGATTCATATGACCTCTCCTAGGAATCTTAAAGAGACTAGGCACTAGCCGGCAGAGACGGAAGAAAAGGAGTGCGAGAGAAGAGGGAGATGAAATCTAACAGCAGTTGAAGAGGTTGTGAGGCAAAGACTGGAACCAACAATTCTAGAGCAGGTGAAAAGTACAACATCCGGCAGAGAGGACATGCTCCAAGTGGCACTGTTAGCTAAGGCAGATCCAATAGCACTATTTGTTTTTACTCACTAATTTGATGAAAAAATATTTTTACACACACAGAAATTTTCACAGTATATACTGATTAAATGTACTCTTTTTTTCCCTCTTTATTTTTTATTTATTATTTAGTGTGTATGTGAGGAAGATTGGCCCTGAGCTA